CAAAGTGTACAATCGATGTGAATATAGGTTACGGATCGTATTTTTCTCATCCTTTGAAGTGAAACTTCTTTACGCACGCTTGACTTGGAGGGTAAGCTGGCGAATGCGTTACGCGTAACGCGTTCGGCCGAGGCGAACGGGAGTTGAGTGGGGAATATAAGCAAGATAAAGCAGTGCCCGCGCACATTTTCTTTCTCTTTCTCTTATTGCTAGTAAATGAAATATGTATATGTTTATATATTTATGTGTGTGGGTGTACAAAGCTAAAGAAGTTTCACTTCAGTCCTGTGGTCACAAGCACATTGGTTTTTTTTTAAATTTATTTTAGCCTATTTATGTCCCCACTGCTGGGACACTGGCCTTCCCTACGGATGGCGTACAACTTGGGCCCAGTGCGGTTTGGTGGGTCTTTAAAAATGTTACATAGACAATACAATTAATACAGAAGTAGATAAGAAAGCTATGTTTATGCCAAAAGATAAAGGCACACAGAAAATTTACGTCATAAAAGGAATTATCTCATGTATGTAATTGTAATAGGCAGTACACATAATTTCACGGCCTATTTTGTGTGGTTGGCAGAGGATCAAGGGTGTCACAGTTGCAATAGTATTGTGCCAGATACTCATTAGTATTGAAGTCGTTCCCCATTATTGCCAAGCCTCATTTTGTTCTCTGCAACATAGTTTTCTGATGAGTTAGCTGTTTATTATTATCTTACTTTAAAAAAGAATTGGTGCAATCATAATAACCTGGTTGCCAAACTTACCTTATTAGTATGCACAAAACAATCTCTATACCGCGATTCAGCGGATGTGCCGAACATTTAACAAAACACGTACTTGCAATCTGTAGCCAAACTTATACCACTTTTCAGTTATTCTTAGCGGTTTTTGTGCTTGCTAATAAATTGCAGAAAATAGTTGTAGTTAGGCCAACTTTATGTAAATAATCACTTCAAATGTGTTTGATTATAACAATACATTGTTATGTTACAGATTATCAAAATTGAATTGGACAGTTTATAACCACTTTATAACAAAATGTTTTAGTAGTTTTTACGTAACTCGATTAACTGAAATGATAATGTAAAATGCGACAGAACAGTTCGTCTACCAGTGACTGAAATGTATTTATTAGTAAATGATGTTTGGCTATTATTCATCTGTTAACTCAACTAGTTTTGTAAATTCAAATACTTTTTTCAGTGTAGGGGATTGGACCAGAGTAGTCAACGGCGCGAGTGATATTTTTGGTATCGCAAACGTCTATAGGTTAATTATCGTGGCCGTTTACCATCGGGCGGGCCGGGCCATACGCTTGTTTGCCATTTAAATTGAAAAAAAAAAAAACTTTAATAGCGAATAGAGTTGAGGCGGCAAAGATGTTCTGCTAGCCATTGTCACCTCCAATCGCCTTATTCCAAACCGCGGACTAAAGTTAGTTGATGGTTTAAACCTAATGTTATGTCTGTCTTCTTTTCAGCAAACAAAAGTACAGCATCAGTTAGGTTTAACTTTAGTCTACGTTTAGTGATAAGGCGGTTAATTTACTTTGATCTATCGTTATCGTCATCGTACTATCTTAGTTACATAGCTTTTAAAGCTGTAAAGTAGGACACGACATACTTTAAGATTCATCGAATATTGATTTTAATAGTACGCTCTCAGCATAGGCGACCTGTTTTAACACTTACATAAATCATCATTTATTAATTACCTATTTAATATTAATTTAAAAGATAAAGAATCGTTTATATCGGTTTTGATACAAACAATACAATAAGGGTGGACATTGAATGCACGGAAGTAAGACCAGCTTCAGATGAACGTTGAAACAAAGAACCGGATATTTTAAACACTGATCTCCACGACATTGGAGATCAATGTTGAAAATACCAAGTAATAATTATTTTGGGTTTACACCATTTTGGACACCGGTAAAACATTCACCATAAATTAGATTTTAGAACAGCATTTCTTATAAATATGCTGACTTTTCACAAAATTAAGCTGTGATAAAATACAACCGCACTCTGTTAGCTTATTTTCAATATTTGAAAAGACGATAAACTGAAAGTTGTTCAACAAATATGAAACAGGAAAATCACATGGTATTGTAATATAAGACAAAGAGAACTACTGTTAACCGCACGCTAGTTAACCGTTAAAGAGTGTCTCTAATATAAAAATGTCGCATGGTTCCCTAATAGTGGGTTAGTTTTATTGTTCATTAATCGTTCCACTTGCTTCTGTCTACAGTAACTGCTGCCCTTATGTCTTGATCGTTGCGCCGTATTCCAAGCGCGCCGGTAAAAATAGACCGGCACCGAGTATGTATGCCAGGGGGATCTTGACAATGTTTGTTTGTTTCCTTTAACATTCTCAGCTACCACTCTGCACCTAATATTAGGTTTAAGGAATTTGTTTGTGACGAAAGGCGTGAAATTATATTTATTTCGTTGGAAACTTTTTCACTCTCATGTTAGAACTGCACATTGTCATGGCTATTCGTTTTTACTATTTGACAACAATTTATCATTGTCGCGTAGTGTATATATTCTCTGTCATTGTCATGCTCAATAATAGGGAATAAAAAGGAGGGATTGGTGTTAAGGAGCAAATACAGCCTTCAGAAGAAGGGACTATGGGACTTAAAATATCTCTAGATCCCATGAATTATGAAATGGGAGTCTCGCGATGATGTCTCGCATGAGAGTTGCGCTAGGAATATTTTTAATTGCATTGTTTACTTTATATCCGCTGTGATAAAGCATTTTTTCTCTTTTTACTAATACACGTAGCATTTTGCTCATGGCTTTATCAATAATGCCTAATCTGATTATGCGTCATAGGTACGTATTAAATTGTATTGTTTTATGTTCAAATTTGTTTATTAACAAGTAGGCAAAGGTGCCATAATTTCACTTCAGTGAAAATTGTGATGATAATGGACTATCAACACTTACTCGGTGATTAGATACGCATTCTGTGTGTCACGCCCAGACTCTACTTTTGGAATTTTAAATTTCAATATACTTCGTTAACTTCTTTTAAAATAACCGGAAGAATTTACTTTGCTGTTGACAATGAAGTAATCTAGTAACATTCGGTGTAATCACTGTGTAATGCAGTTAATCTACGACCGACGCAGATATATGGCTGACTGAATATTAACGTCAAAAGTCACAATGTTTTAGAGCTGGGGGCCAATCGCCTAACGGAATTGCTTTGGAGAACGCTAACGCTTACGATTTTATTTTGTTATTTCTAGCCGCCTGAGGTATTCAAATGCCTCGCGCTCTTTCTTTTTCTTTTGCATTGGTAATAACAATATTAAAAAAAATGAGCGTGAGGTATTCGAAAACCTCAGGCGGCTAGAAATAACAATATAAAATCGTAAGCGTTAGCAATTCCCAAAGCATTTCCGTTAGGCGATTGGCCCCCTGGTTGACTTAAATATTGCAGTCTCGTTGCTTTAATTGAAACGTCTGGCATGGCAAAGATTGCTGCATCCTTAGAGAAGTGAATGCCGTGAAATAACACAATGAATTCTATAGTGTTTTGTTTCAACTGAGTATAAAATTAGAGTTGCACTGTGAAGAAGGTTGGGATGGTAGGCATATGCCTTGCCTACTCATCATTTACCCGTCATCTTGAGTTAAGGCAGCTTATGAGCAATACTTTGCCATATAAGGCTGTAAGCGTGCTGCTCGCTCAATACCCATTTCATTGTTGATCAAAGCCCATTACTGACATATTTTTTTTCGTAGCGATGAAGTCAATAATAATTCAGTAGAAGTACCACTGAAAAATAGTGAAAATAAAGTCTTGGTTTATAGAAACTTTGACTGATAGAATGTATTTAAAATAGAAGAAAATTTTTTCGATGGCGATAATTTATCGCGAGTACTAACGATATTAATAATATTAATATTGGAGAATACGATTATCGCTAGATTATACGAGTTCTCATGAACTCTCGACATAATGAATGTTACAATAAGGTTTCCTAATTGATGTTCACGTAATTTGATTTGTATAGATGTTCTCTGTGTTCACGTTCAGTTCAATCTGTGCTTGTATGCTTGTGACCTTAAATATATATATATTTTTTATTATTAATTATCTAGTCTCGGTGCAAAGGCAACGGATTAACACAGCCTTGCCCCATTTTTTATTATTTCCTTTATATTTTATATTAATATGCATATAAAAATCGTTAGTGTTTGGCATCCACTTGTCAGATAAAGGACCCAGTTGAAAACCAGCGGCAGTGCATACTGCACTGACATTATGCTGAACTGGGCCCTTTTCAGCGCAGCCGTGGATACGGAGTGATATCAGTTATTTTGTAAGTTTTAACTATAACTATTTTATCTGTATCCGTGTACTGTACTGAATAAACGATTTTGTTTGTTTGTTCAATAAGGTGCCATATTAGGTAATTTTCTTAGTAGTAAGCAGAAACTGTTTATATAATAATAATGCATTCCTCACCGTAATCCTATGGTTAGTCGAAAGAATTTGAAGTTTTTATTATACAATAGATTGTGGCGGGTTGATACCTAAACTAGGAAAGATCCTCAATAATATATCAGGTAATATCAATCCTCCACTTATCAATCCACAACGCACAATATTTGTGCATCAATTTAATGTTTATATTAATTTGCTTCGTCTATCACTCTAACTGATTTATCTAGTTGTTTATATAAAAACAGTAACTATAGAAGTGTATTATGGTTTACTGTTGAAATGGTATTTACTGCATTCTGAGTGTTTATTATCGCCAAGCAATTCTTTAAAGACCAGTCGCAATCAGTTGCAATTGCAAGTTAGATCAGTGAAAGGCGTGTACAACAGTGGCCATTGATTCTTTGGTCTATGCCTACCTAAACCTGTCCTTTTAGGGAAGATACCTTATTTTATAGCTTATTCAAAGTCTATATTTACCTAATATTTTTCAAGCTTGTGATTAACGAACCGTTAAAATTCCAGGTGATAGTCGAGTCGCATAAGGAGCTACGATGTCCCGAGTGTCGCATCCTGGTGGAGGCGAAGGTGGAGGAATTGCCTCCCAACGTTCTACTCATGCGGATCCTGGAGGGCATGAAGAACTCCGCGCCCAGGAAGCCCAGCGGCTCGACTCATAGGAAGGCGGGACATCTCGCGGTAAATAGTTACTACTACTATTTTTTTATTGTTCGGAAAATGCGTAATGCATACCCCGCTCCTGGGTGGAGACGGGGTTATGTGAAACTCCAAATCCCGCCTACTCAGCCAGCCCATAGGACTGGCTCAGCGGCTGATTGGGATGAGGGGAGGAGGGCTACCCACTAAAACCTAACAGTGCTTTCTCGTCTGTCGGAGCGGGTTTCGTGGGACCCTGAGAATCTCCATGTGACACCGGGCATGGGTTCCTCCTCCTCCTTGCGGTCTGGGGGATGCCCGGAAGCACCGGGGCATTACCCCTCAGCGGGTTTGACTGTGCAATGCGGATGGCCGACCACCCTGTTTGCCATCCTGAGTCTCATTAGGGAGGAAAGAGAGGCGCATAGCGCTGCCTCCTACCCTGCCGTCGGCTTCGCCAACCTGTGATGCCCCGAGTTCCGCATCTTGGAAAAAGGAGGATCTGTCCAACGTGCTGCTCATGTGGATCCTGGAGGGCCTGAAGAACTCCGTGCCCAGGAAGTCCAACGGCTCGACTCATAGGAAGGCGGGACATATCACGGTAAATAGTTAATTACCACTCTTGAACCTGCGATGTCCCCGGTGGAGATCAAGATGCAGGAGGTGCCCCCAAACGTGCTGCTCATGCGGATTCTGGAGGGCATGAAGAACTCCACGCCCAGGAAGCCCAGCGGCTCGGCTCATAGGAAGGCTTCACCTTACGGTAAATAGTTCACTTTTGAACATGTTTTTACTGAGAATCGTACTGACATCGCTTTAATTAATCAGGTTTAACGTTCATTTTGTTTTCGTATTGTTGTTATTGGTAAAACCACTTAGAACATCTAGTTCTAGGGACTACGGTTTTAGAGGCATTCTTAACGACTCCATTAATTTTGTAGTCGGCAAGTCTCTCCAATTCTTTTCATTTCATTTATAATGTAATAATAATGATGAAGATGTAAATTTTGGTAACGGTCCTAATAAGTAAGTTTTCTCAGGATAAATACTTGAGTTAAGAATGAAGTATTTTATCTTATAAGACTACCTTGGCATTTTCTGATAAAAATTCAAATTATTCAACCGATAAATGAATCATTACTGTTATCAGTCGATGCGGAATAAAACAAACAATGGCGCATATGGGTTAGATAAGATTAAACAGGTTTTCTTGTACTTAATTGAAAAGTTGTTTGAGGTTTAGTATTGTAAATATTGAACAATCATAATGTTATGTCGTGTAGTTAACTTTTTCTTCAATTGACAACCTGTTTATTCATACTAATTGTATTTATTTATTGTCAGAAGAGCTGAATTATATTTCCCCCCTAAAGATGTAAGGTGTAACGCGAAAGGTTGGAAAGTGCCTGGCCACTAATATTTCCCTGACTCGGTCATTACACTGTTTTGTCCTGGCTTTTTGCATTTGTGAATTTCTAAAGTCTCTTCGTATGACTTTAATAATACCTTTTTTTGCAACACATGTAAATAGCTCACATACTTGTCCTGTAACTCGATTTCCCAATATCAATTTAATCTCTCAAGGTGAGACAAAAGTAATTGCGTTCTTCAAGAATCATTAAATCAATGATTTCTTTAAATTTCCTAAATATACGTTGCCAGCCATTATGGAAGAAGGACCGATACCCATCCATTTTTTACCCAAATATTTTTTATAATGTTTTCTCTTTTCATTTCACAGAGTTTAACGCAGGGTGTTCAGGCGACTCGCACAGACTGCAAACAATTGCCGCCGCACGCCAGAGCTATGCACGACTATATCTCTATGGAACCAGGGTAAGCATAAATTGTTAACACTTTAAGGTCGCGTAGCCAAAGATTTACAAAGGAACCCTACCTTTACCATCCTAATCACATCATAAATGTGAACGTTTTAATGATTGTTGAAAAATGGCGAAATGAATTTGGATGCTATTTGGCACGCATGAAGTTTATTACCTGGGGCCCAATTCTCGCGGCATAGATATTATATCACTTTCGATATATATCGAATGATCTGGCTTTTATCGAAGGAAAACCTTTTTGCCCTATTCTCACCATGTCGCAATAGATATTTATCTACGGATGATCAGTAGACATACATCGACTGGTAAAGAGCCTTCGATATATAAATATCTATGGATCTTGGCATGTCAATCTTGTTATTTCCACTTTTTTTACCTATTATTTATTTTGTTGTCGTGTGTCTTTGCCAATTATTGTTACCTCAAGATGTTGTTAACTGCCTTCATAAATAATTAGTAAATAAAGAAGTAGGTAAACAATGGTGTCGATTCTGGCGTGATTCTCTAAACTTAAAACTAAATTTAACATCAGTCTCTCTTTTTCATTCTGTATAGAGAATGACAAGGAAACACTGTTGTCAAATTTAAGTTTAGATTTAGAGAATCGTGCCAGAATCGACACCAGTTTATATTAACGATGGATGAGTTGATTCATGTTTTCGTCAATGATTTAATAAATGACGTGATTGCTGCTGCTGTGCTAAGGTGCCGCCGTTGTGAGAGCAAGAGGGCCCATTTGAAATGAGGGACGCCGACTTCATAAAAAAATTACGTTTAAACAAAAATTTGGTTAGAAATCTTTAAAGTTATGAATGACATTGGTATCGATTCTGACACGATTCTCTAAACATAAAACTAAATTTAACATCAGTCTCTCCTTTTCATTCTGTATGGAGAATGACAAGGATACACTGTTGTCAAATTTACGTTTAGGTTTACAGAATCATGCCAGAATCGACACCATTTTCTTATTGACGATACGGAGTTTTGGCGGGATTCCTGCGAGTGCGGTTGGCATCTTATTTTAATTATTCTAAAATTCGTTCATAGTGGATATTGTGAAATAAAATTGGTGTGATTTGGTGTAACAACCGTCTGCGCAACTGAATAATTAGTGGAATCTTTAAAATATACGCTATTCCGGTCAAGTGGACGCGAAAACTTTATTGTAGTGTTGACTACCTCACAGAAGCTTAGAGAAAAAGCCAACTCCATAAATTTCGTACCAAACACTCCAAGAAACATTAGAATGCGTCACACCGACATTCGAATGTAAAAAAAAGAAGATTAATATAACTAAAGACTAGGCTTTATGGGCATTGTTCCCTTTGCCTTCCCTGAAAAGGGAAAATCTTTAATAATATTGACGTTTCATTATACTTAACATTGAAATTATATACGCATACAATTTAGGTAAAGTTGAGATTTCTTATACTCAAAAAATGTATACTCAAATTTAATATGAATGGAATTCATAAAATATCATTTTTTTGCTTGTAAAATTCTGCTCTAATTTATTATTATTATATATAGACTATGATGTTAACTTAATCGAGAAAAACGGAACGCATTCGGCAGTGAAAGAATATCTACGATAGATATAATATCACTGGAATATAAAAAATCCACGAGAATAGCATTTTTTACCATCAGTAGATATTTTCAATAGATATCCCTCCTTTCGATATTATCTCGAAGCCGATATAATATCTATGCCGCGAGAATTGGGCCCCTGGATTGACACATGGAATACCTACTTTAATTGCGGAATTAAATATGTTCCTGGGGGATTATCAAAAACAAAACGCGTACGAGGTCGCGGGCGGAAGCTGGTAAAATTCGAGTCATTAAAGAAGAAGATAATCGCAAATGACGACGTAAGACATTTTGTTCCTCTCGCACATGCTATTCTAAGTAACAGAATCGAGAGAAACAAAAATTATTTGCGTCGGCATTTTCGTCATTTCTTTAATGATACGAGTTATAGAGAAATAGATAAGAAACGAAATGTAATAGACTACTAATTGGTCCGGCATTTAAATCCTACGATCGAATGAACACTATGGTGTCTATGGTAATAAATAATAATAATCAGATTTACGGTTGTCATATATAGTACAGTCATTTGAAACAGTCATTTAGAAATAATATAGTGGTTACCTGGAAAGTTTTCCGGGAGTTTTGAAAATTGGTGATTTATAAATTTTGAGGTGCTCTTTCCGAATTTCGACTTTGCCACCTCGTATTTTTGCCGCTCGCGCCGCCATATTGGAAAAATGGCGTCTAAAAGCAGTTTTTTGACAATATCTCATTTCCGACTCATTTTACGATAAAAACAGTAGCCATTTTTGCAACAAACAAAAAGTTCGCGCAAGTGGCGACGCAGTAAACGAAATGTAGGGTGAAGTAGATGAGCGTGGGATTTAACTTTTGGTAGTAGTTTTTGGTTAAATTTCATATTATGTATGTACATTGAAAAGCGTCCAAATGAAAAATTTTGTTTGTTTCAGTTGTTGACAGTTTTAACATTTGAGGCTTTAAACGTATTTTTACTAATTTTAATTAGATGTTTGGCTTCAAATCATTGCTGTCCAACTTTCTAAACGACGAAAGAAAAGTGCAATATCTATCTCTTTCCAATACATTATTAATTTGTTAAATCAGTTTTTTATATTTTTTTATTTTATAGTCATAATTTTTATATCATTTAAATTTGTGATGGAAAGTGATAATGGTAAAAAATACAGGGAGAAAAAAAACAGGCCTTGCTGAGTTTCTTGCCGGTTCTTCTCAGTACGAGGTCTCCCGCCGTAGATTTGCGAACCGATGGCTTAGCTTTTCGATACACAACTGCTTGTATCAGCCTAGACTGAATAAACGATATTGAATTTCGTTTTTTTTAATTGCCCTGTCTAGGCGGTCGAGCTTCCTTGTATTTTATTACGCTATGCCATTACTCGATTGCCCAAGTGAATCACGCGATCTTCGATCGATAAGTAACTTTCGTAATATAATCTTGCTCCTCCGTGCTTCGAAAGGCACGTTAAGCCGTTGGTCCCGGCTGCAGCTGCAGTCGTTAGCATCCACCAATCCGTACTGGTGATGGGTCATGACCTAATCTCCCTATGCCAGCCATAGGGAAGGCGTGTGCCCCAGCAGTGGGGACATCAATAGGCTGATGCTGATGCTAGAAATAAGCCTCTGCATTCCTTCGTCCATAATAGGTTAGGTAACGCTTGTTTATTTATTCTGTTTTTCTTCTTTCCAGGGACCTGTCGTTCAAGAAAGGCGATACTGTAGTATTGCAGAAGAAATTGGACCCCTTCTGGTATCAGGGAGAGTGTTCTGGGAGAACCGGCATGTTTCCCATCACCTATGTTCAGGTTTGACTTGATTATTTTAATAATCTTACTAATCTAATATAATCATCGCGACCGTAAAAAGAGATTTCTTTTAAAACCCAATTCTGATGGAGAAACCTAATTTTTTTGCTGCTTTTTTTAAGTCGTCTAATAGTAACGTTATAATTTTGCTATTAATTATAGTAATTTAATTAACATTAATCAATTTATGAAAATGAAAACTTTGTTGAAAAGCTTTTGATCCATCGTTTCTTAATCGTATTTCGGACTTACTATCCTCTTATGAGATTTTTTAGATGTGCTCTTAACCAATATAGAATTTGATCTTGACACGCGTCAAATGTCAAGATGTATTTTATGGAAGATTTATAATTCTCGTTACGTCCGTTGTGGCGCTGTTCAAATATCGCGATCGAATTTAACTATTCGAATTTGGTATTGGTTTGTGCTAAAGGTATTGACAAGAAAAATGGACATAAGAAACTTATCAACTTTTAACGACGAATGAGATTAAATATCAACTTGCTTATTAGGGCACTAATCCCATTATGAATAAACAAAGAATAAGCTTAGACTAGTTACGCCGTATTTTGTTCATGTCACTGAAATGCCATTTGTCATTCGATATACAGAGACAAAACATGGAGTAAATAATCCAAGCGTAGTCTTCGTTTATTAGTAAGGGGGTAAATGTATGCAAAAAAGTATTTTCCCAATGCATTTTTCTCGGAAATTTCACGAGCGTGTTTGTTTGAAGATTTCAGCTCACATTCGACTAATTGTCCAACTGATAGTGGTCGATAAACAATGTATTGTTTATTGTTTCAGATTGTGGTACCACTGCCTATACCCACAGCGTTGTGTAAAGCTCTGTATGACTTCCGAATGTCGGCGCCGGACGAGGAAGGCTGCCTCGCCTTCGATAAAGGTGAGTTTTTAGAAAATTTAAAGTAATATCCACACTTCCATACTAATATAATAAATACGAAAGTGTGTCTGTCTGTTTGTCTGTTTCCTTTTCACCGCTTGAACCACTGAACCTGTTCGTTCGTCGAAAGTGTGTCTGTCTGTTTCCTTTTCACGCTTAAACCACTGAGCCGATTCAGATGAAATTTGGTATAGTGATAGTTTGAATTTAAGGGGGGGGGGGGTGAAAGTTAGTAAAAAAGTATAGGTAACCAAGTTTTCCAAGCAGACAAATTCGCCGGCACCCACTTACTTGTCGAGGAATATATATTAGAAAATTTCTTCCTGACTGATATATCTGATCTTGAATAAATAATAAAATAAGGCTTTACCAAATAAGTACCTTCGTAATAATAAGTTAGGAACACAACAAAGAGAAAAAGGCCAATCAGCATGCTAAACCTAACTTGCGACCGATTAGCTATTAACTTGCAACACAAAAATGGACCTCCAAAATGGTGCTAAGAACTCCAGGTCCCTGATCAAAATGCCATGCCTGCCAATAATGTAAAACACATAAACCTAAACACATTTAAATTAATCTTTCTACCTTATCTCCGGCTAGTGTGGTTTTGGCGACATCTTTACAGCTGATAACTTTAATTCAAGTATTCCAATTTCTCTTTATCTTATCAGTATCAGGTATATGTGCATGACATTGTTTGATATTATTTGTTTATCTATGTTTTTATTTATTTTATTACTAGCGGCCGCCCGCGACTTCATACGCGTGGAGTTAGTTAGAAATGTAGGTGATAGCGTGATAATATGTAGGTTATATGTTGGCCTGACTTCTTCTTAATATTCGTGCCAAATTTGAAGTAAATCCATGCAGTACTTTTTGAGTTCATCCCGGACATACATACAGACAAAAAATCTAAAAACTATATTTTTGGCTTCGGTATCGATTGTAGATCACACCCCAAGTATTCTTTAAAAAGAATATTCAATGTACAGTTTTGACTTTCATATCATTTTATTATATGTATAGATTTTATTTTATGTTTAGGGGCAATAATTACGGTACACAGACGGGTCGACGAGAACTGGGCTGAAGGGAGACTTGACCAACGCGTGGGAATATTTCCCATAGCGTTTGTGGAACTCAATCAGGCCGCAAGACAGCTAATGAACAGGTAACTACTTCGATGCTGGGTCAATAAGTTTTGACCATCTCCGTGCTCGAGTGGTTTGTCCACCGGGTTTCAAGGTGTCGCCTACTCTAGCCTTGTTCCTCCGTGCTTCAGAAGGCACATTAAGCCGTTGGTCCCGGCTGCATCTACAGTCGTTAGCACCCACCAATACCCACTGGGCCCGCGTGGTGTGTCATAGCTCAATCTCCCTATTACATCCATAGGGATGGCCTGTGCCCCAGCAGTGGATACATTGGTGGATACGATGATGATGACATAGTAAGGGCATCTCGCTTTTACAGTCGTGATAGTATTTTCAAAATACCTAATTTTTTTAACCTGAAACTTTCTAGCTCTTATACAGGGTTAATTTCAAAATACCGGCAACCTCGCAGTACTAGATAGCTTATATCATGCACAACAATGTCTGTTCTACGAGTTTTGAAAATTCGTTAAATTTTATTTTCATACATAAATAAATATCAAGTTAATTTACCGCCCGAATGTTATTAATTCTACAGACCTTAGAATTTGGTATATGCTCTAAGCTACAGATACCTGGAATCTGGGGTGAAGGAAGAGGGCGCGCGGGCGGGATTTGTTTGAAATAATGTTTGCACACAAGAAACTGTGACTCACTCACACTTCCTTGTGTGCAAACATTATCGTCATCTTACGTCTGCATAAATTTGAAAACGAAAACAAAATAATAAGTACCAATATTTTACATTAAATTTGGTGTAAGTAACTTAAGAAAACGATAAAGAAAGATTACGTAAATCGTTTTTACATATTTTGGAAGATAAGCGTTTTTTTTTTCAATTGTTTAATGTAGTTAGTAAAGAATGAAGTGATTGTGGATTCAGTGTACCTAGTGCATGCAAGCTAGGTGAGCAATTAATTCAGTAAGTAAAGTATCTAGTAAAGAAATACAATATTAATATTAATTATTTGATAGCGCGTGCGTTTTGATTATGAAGGAAGCATAGACTTATAAATGCCACAGTATATCAAAAACTTAGAATTTTTTTATTGATCAAAGTATTGAGTTATGTTAAAACTCATAGAACAAACATTGTTGTGTATAATGATAGCAATATAGTCCTGCGAGATTTCTGGTATTTTAAAATTAACCCTGTATTATTTACTTCTTATACGTATATTAAGTATTGTATGAAATAATTATACAACTAAAGAAACTTTTTAGGTGGAGTAAAAAATAGAAGACGGAAGGTTGTTCGCCTTGTTCTTCTTGATGTTTATTTTTTTCTTATGTTTGGTAAATAAAAGGATTATTCACTGCACTGATTAATGAAGCATTTCCTATGGTTATAAAAAGAAAAATTTATTTTATCTTTATTCCCACATCTTTGTGTATTTATTTTGTGAATTCTTCAACCATATATAAGACAAGCGTTGCTCTGAAAACAAGAAAAATATTTTAGTACCTAGGTTAAAACACTTATTTACTCACTAAATTTTTTACTATCTACTATAAATTATACTAACTTACCTAAATACAAAGAAACGTCATTTAAAGTCTTTTACTTATTACAACAATTCCTTCCTTTACAATAATATTTTAAAATAACCAAATAATACCAACCAATAAATATCATGGCTCGTTCCGTCAAAGCGATACCATCTATGAAGTAACAGTTTTATTATTATGGTCGCCCGAGAGCTATACAAACTACTTAAGAAATAACAAATTAAAGAAGTGACTGTAAGGAGGTTCTTTACATATATTTTTGTTTGTAGTGTTCCTCTTAATCGACCCGTGCCACCTCTACCTGACCATGCTCGTCCTTCACATTCAGACCACAGGCATCATGTACAGGTAAGGTATACTAACTTAATAATAATATATCATCTTTAGGATGATTCCGCATAAAGTAGAATAAAATAAAAAATAAAGTTTAACAGTAGATTTTCATGTGTGAGAAATGTTCTTATTTTTCTATTTTGATTTGTACACTCTATGTTAACTTATATATTTTGCATTACCTAATTCTCAAGATAAACTTGCAAAGATAACTAATAAACAAGTTATTTGTAGCCACCTGATGCATAATTCGCTAGATTATGAAATTCCTAGATATATAATGAAGACACTAGCTGTACTTGTTTGACTTGAATTGAGCATTGTTTTAAACGCCTAACATGTACATAATGATTTTACCTTTTTTGGTAAAACAGCCTGAAAAATTCGTCTTATTTTGCGAATTCCTATATTTACTTCCTTGTATTCTTACATTCAAAAAATACATAATCTGGCGCTTTATTACGATCAGGCGATGAAAAACATTAGTATTTCATAAATATATTTGTTTTGCAGGCCACGAATCGCTACCAACCCACCAATATGTCGATATCCACCCCCAACACTGGACACAACAACTACCATCACAACACAACCACAATGTCTCAATCCCAACCTCAACCCACTTGCGTACCGGTTGCTCGAGCGATACTAACTTCCGAACCCCATACAAAACTAGACCTTATTCACTTAACCGCAGTGCACAAAGCCCATGTAGGCCTTCAGAGCCTCAGAATAGCGGACAATTACGACCGCAGGGCGCCCAAATACGAATACAATCCTAAAGTAGAAACCACTTACCAAAACGTACGCACTCACGAACATTTTCCCGTGTCCGTAGCGAATTTCAATTCTACCGTCAGCTCAGACTCCAGTTCCAGTATGAATACTCCCGTAGGCGTCAGTTCCACAACCACACCGAATACCAGTTCCAATACTAGCACTTGCGAAAGCGCCGAACCTAGTTTGCCTAGTTCCCCTGACAATAATACCGATCGAAACTCAACCGTAGTACAACAGAATACGAATCAAAACGGCGACGCAGAAGCGGAGACGAATGAAAGAGAATCGTCTCTCAATACTTCGATGGGAGTGTTGAGTTTGAATGAAAGCTCGACAGCTACCAATACTTCTTTGAACGTCAGCCTTCCACCGGCGGAAAGTCCAAAATTGAATGCTTCAAACGCTACAGTATCTTCACAAAATCATAGTGAAACTGAACAAGGTGCAAGCAATAATGAGCCTAGACTGGATGCCCCGTCTTCTTCGAAGAATGTTGTTGTAAGACCTAGTGGACCCGATTCTTTGTTGAACTTCGGTATAGGCTTGCAAGCGGCATTGTCGCCATCGCATAGCAAAGATGCGAACTATATGGCGTCGAGAAACCATAGAGAACACCATAACAGGGAGAAGAGACACAGTCTGACGCCGTCCACGCATCTGCAAAGTGGTCATTCTACGCAAAACAGGTATGGAAATTTTATATAATTATATATGATTTTTTTTTTATATTATAGATGTTAGAGCAAATGTGCATGAGTGTTTATTAGGTCTAGTGTTATACTTTGTTACGAAACAGCGACCCGCCCTCGCCTCGCTTTGGAGTAGGTAGACTATGGTTTTCGTTCTCGCGTTGGTATGTAGACATATTATAATAAACCTAAGAAAAAATTGCTATTTTTTTATGAAAACCGCATGAAAATCCGTTGCTTAGCCAAGGTTGAATTAGCAGGTATACAGATAGACACGGAAGTCGAATAGGGTATTTGACAAGTTTTAGAAAATGATCTCACGTTATTAACTAATTTTTATAGAGTCCGTAAAAAATATTCATCATTCTGTTGTGTATTTCAGTAAAAATAACCAAATCTGAAACTCCATTTTCAAGTTGTCGCGAAAACGTTTCTCTGGACAATATGGCGTCTTATAGTGTGTTATTAAAACGTCAAACGATACAATGTAATGTTACGTTATTTGAGTGCCTTCAATTCGTTCCTCAGGCACTCTGCGGAGATTCTAGCTACTAGTCTTTTGGACCACGTGTCAGAGAGAGAGCGCGATAGGCCAGAGCGCGAGAGAGAGCGAGAGAGACGCAGGCGCCGCTCCAGGAGCAACGAGCGCCCTCTGCCGGCGGCTTATGTCGCCCTCTACCCTTACAAGCCGCAGAAACCCGACGAGTTGGAGCTGAGGAAAGGAGGTATCGTGGGTTTGTTTGTATATTTGTCCGGCTCGCAGGACCAATGTTCGAGTTTATCCGGCTCGACCAAAGTTGGACGCTCAGAATCGGTTAAAAAAAGCGAGTGTGCTTATGACCACACAACCAATGTGAAACTTCTTTAGCTCCAATGATCTGAAAATCATAAGCTTAACCTGAAGATTTGTAAATAGCAAAAAAAAACACTAATCCGCGCCGGGTTCGTTATCACCCACCAAGCACTAGATTCATGAATTTTGTGACGGTTATTGTTCATTGTTTACCGATGAGTAACCGATGACACTAATCGTAACGCAAAAATCGTAACACATTCGCCAGTTTACCCCCCAAGTCAAGCGTGCCTAAAGAAGGTACTAGACAAGTGGTAACACACACACACATAATAGTAATCAAAACTAACAACCTATATACTAACACAATTAATCTAAACCCGGCGCCAACCGACAGACAAAAGACGTAACCAGTACAACGCCATCTGTCGATATAAAGTGCTACTAAAATATTGATGTTGCTTTCACAATTAGCGACCAGTCTACTAGACCCTGCTCCCTTACAAAGTGCAGCAGCAGCTGCAGAAAGGAGGTATTTAAATAAATAATAAATATTTCCTACACTCACACCAATTTGCCTATCCCCAAAGTAAGCGCTGTAAGGTTTGTGTTTTTTGTGCAAATGTGTTGAAAAATAATAATCATAATCATTAATAATCATAATCATTAATAATCATAATCAAAATCGTTTATTCAGTTTAGGCTGTTACAAGGACTCATGAATGTCTAGAAGCTACACCATCGGTTCGTAAATCTACGGCGCGAGACCTTGTACTGAGAAGAACCGGCAAGAAACTTAGCAAGGGCTGCTTTTTTCTCCCTGTTTTATTATTTACAGGGTCGTCAAGTAGAAAAATGACTTCAGAGACGATTCTTAAAGTCATCTTTCATTACATAACGTGAAATTATACATTAATTGTTCACCTGCATTTTGATTGCTGTGTCATACAGTATAAATACAAATAGTGTTATTTATATTAGCTGTAACTAGACATTTACATCTTAAATATCAAAGTTGTTAGGGCAGACTCATCTCCGCTGGCAGCACCCGTTCACGAGCATGACGCATGAACCAGCCATCGCTTCGCTCAACCATATTTTAGGGAACGTAACGACCTGCCTCACATGACATCACCGAAGAGACTTTTAAGAGAGCATGACTACCCAATCAACATATTTACTTAAAATTAAAGTAATTTATCTGTAGGACACTGCAAACAATTACAAAGCAAAAACAATGGAGAAATCATGACCACGCCGTTTTGTTTCATTCAAATGTGCCTAAATAGTCTGATATTCTTCCTTAAGTAATCAACTTTAAATACAATAGAAGTATCGTCAACATATGATTCATAATATATATAGCGTATAGAAATAAATACCCGTTGGAATGGTTGGAACAGTTCATAATGATTAAATATATAATAAGTAATGTAACTCTTTGTTCCCAGCCGTGTACACAGTGACGGAGCGATGTCGCGACGGCTGGTACAAAGGTTGCGGGGACCGGGAACCCCGATGTGGGGTGTTCCCCGGGAACTATGTGGCCCCAGCCCCCGCGTCTGCCCCGGCTCCGACCCGGATCAAGCACGACAAGGTGAAGAAACAAAATTACCATATTACAAGAAAAGCTAAGCTAGATGGCGCGAATAGTCAGTGTCGTGTTGTGTCTCAGTAGAAAGTCAGTGTTTACAAAACAGTTTCTCACGGAGCTTGGAATTTCAAGAATAAATATTGCCATCTAATTGTGCTCATGGTTTGTAAATATAAACTTTTTCAGTTTTGTATGGGCAAAGAATCTGCTTAGTTCATAAAAGATCTTTTTTTATTTGTATCGGATCTAAACGTAGTAAAATAAAATTTGGTAAGCATAGTTTATGAGGAGCTCGATGGCGCAGGTGGTTAGCGCGTTCGGCTGCGATGGTTGAAGTTATGCAACTTTTGCAGTGGTCCGTCGTTGGATGGGTGACCAAATAACTTCTATCTCGAGTTCTTCCGTGCTTCGGAAGGCACGTTAAGCCGTTGGTCCCGGCTGTATCTGCAGTTGTTAGCACTCGCTAATCCACATTGGGCCCCCGTGGTGGGTCATGGTTCAATATCCCTATTCCATCCACAGGGAAGGCCTGCGCCCCAGTAGTGGGGACATTAATAGGCTGATGATGATGGTGACAAGAAAAGAAAAATGTTTTGCACCATATTATATAAAAAAAAACAGGCAACAGACAGTAGTCGAACCCGCACCCTCCGCTATGCGGGAGGATGCACTGACCATTAGCCAACCGTGGCCCTAATTGTCTGTTTCTAATTTTCGCTAGTATTTCTTAGGCTGCAAGGCAGCGCCATCTCTTTTCATTGTAGGTAACCCACAATGGCAAATGAATACCTTTACAAGTATTCAGTATTTGAAAGGAGAATTTAAAAGAAAATTCGACACGGACAATTAGGGCCGCAGTAGCATAATGGTCAGTGCATCCGCCCGGATAGCGGAGGGTGCGGGTTCGAGTCCCGTCTGTCCCCAATTTTTTCTAGTAAAATTTTCTTTAGATATAGATTTGTACATAACTGTATTATTAATAGTATAATATTGTTTGGCAGGCACCTTGTTCCCCGTCGCCAGCATCAGTGAAACCGTCGTCTGCACAGAACTCAGCACCAGATGCACCGCCTAGAGAGAACAGTCCACTAGCTACTAATGGTAAATCCTACTATCTATCAGTTTTATCTTTCCTCTATATCTATTGTCCATTTTAGTTTTGGAAAATCATGCCAGAATTTGGCCGTATTATCTATTACTAAACAAAATAAATGTATCTGCTTGTATATAAAAAATCCGGACAACTTCTGCATAAAAATCCTTTAGGAACCTACTTTTAATATAAATCAAGTGTAATGGAAACCTTTAAGATATGTGCTGCTTGAGTATCTCACCCAGTGCTGTCTTTGGCCTATTGGAGGCCCTGGGCATATTAGGATAATGGGGCCCCTATGACTTCCGTTTGGTGATTTAACAGGAACTAGGGTCTTTGTATTTGATCTGAGGGGCCCTCCTAACGATCACGGGGCTCTGGACACTTGCCCAGAGTGCCCACTGGGAAAGACGGGTCTGATCTCACCATATAATTAATTAATGTACTTCTTTTTACAGCGCAACCATTAACTTATCCTTGGAGTAGTATGTCTCAAACGCAACCGCAGCAAAGTACGCCGAGATTGGATAAGGTAAATTTGCACTTAAGTACTTAGGAAATAAATATCAATATTTGCTGTCCAAACATGTCCTTGTAATAAATATTAGATAGATGAGCAATCTAAATCTGTTACCAGTATATAACATAACGAGTTAATAAAGTATTATTTAAACAAGTCTCCTATTCGAGACTAAGTGGCAAAATAATAATATCACAAAGTAGACATAACAGAAGGTAATCTACATACAAAGTGCTCTCGAGCAACGCACACATAGACACCGCTCACGGACACGATATCTCGAACCAGTTCAGACCACTGCGAGCGCGAGTTCCACGTGCTTGAGACACGCGTCTATGAACTTTTTTGTGCAAAAAAAATGGAGGAGCAAGAAACAACTGCATATATCTGTTCAGTAGACGGTTGTTTGAATATATCATTAGGCGGTGAATCGTCATTTTTTTAATTTGCAATATAACAACAATATTAAAATTGAAATATTTTAGTTATTATTGGTTTATATATCCACTCTTTCTGTTTCATTTTTGACAATAAAACAACTACATAAGAGTGCCACGACCGCGACAGTTTTTGTGCATAAGGTAATTTGTAGGTATACAAAGTGAAGCACATGTATGTGATTACCTTCTGTTATTTCTATTTTGTGATAATATCGTCATGTAAGTTCGTAGATCTGAGATGCCACTTCCTGCTGGCATGGAACCGAAACCGGAAAGATTTAAACCGCCTCCATAAATACAAAACCACATAGAAATAATACATACACTTTTCTGGAATCTAAAGTACATTAGTGTCGGGGTAAAACTAGCTTAGGTAAGTGGTGTAACCAAGAAAAATATACCACTAATCATTTTACCTTTTCAACAAAAAAATATGTGAAGTTTCATCTCTTGGGCCCAGAAAGTACAGTTTTACCCGGACACTAATGTACTTTAGATTCTAGTAAAGTGAATGTATTATTTCTTAGTGGTTTTCGGTCTTATCTTATTTTTGAATAAAAAACTAATATAATATAATATAGAAAAAAATAATAAAGGACGTAAAAAATTACAGAAAGACAAATCGAAAGTGGAAAAATCAACAATATCGAGTGGGGTCAGTCTTATGAAACGATTGGCCGCCATGAAGAAATGCAAATCACCGCCTCCCGCTTACAGTATGGACAACCCAGTGTTTGAAGACGCTCCCGGTCCATCATTGGCACTTCACGGAAACCAACATCATCCTGTACACGTCAGGTTAGTGAAGACCATCTTTAAACTAATAAAATTAAGGTTTTATATATCAGCCTGTGTAATTTAGGTTTGTGAACAACCTGTATAAGCAAAAAAATAGGAAATTAAATTAACCTGTATGCTTCGGGCTTGTGATCCTTTATTACCAAAGTTAGGAAAGAAATATAGCATTCTGTACACTTCAGGTGTGGGAACACCATGTATAAATAAGTACTCTATTGCGGATTTAGTAATAGTTTTACAATCAAATAAACCAAGGAAAATATTGAAAAGAAGACACGTTATTATTTCACGTGTATTTCGTGTTAAGTAATAAATGATGTATATCAATCATTTAAATGGTATTTACTGTATCTTTCAAAATAATCTTTAAAGAAAATCCGCAAAAGCTATTTTGGCTACCAAAGAAATTGGGGTCGAGTGATATTATCAAAAATCATAATTCCATATAGTTCACTCATATTACTAAGCAAAGGCTACACTATTATAAATCCATAACATGTTCGTAAATTTCATAGGAAAAATTGTTTAAGTGTTTATGGATTGTGAAAAGTGTAGCTTTTGCCTTAAAATATCATTTGTTTTTGTGCTTCCCACATGCATGCGTATGTTTGTTACCAGTGTACGTTTTGATGATATTTAAGAATGCATGCACTGAGAAATTAATTCTTAACCGGTTTACCTTGATCACTATCTGAAATAACGGTCAATTCTTATATCTGACATTGAAATAGTTAAGTAAATTCTTGTAAGCACTAAAATCTACAATATAATTTCGTATTAACAGTGTAACGTAAAACGTAAATGTTATGAATGAATTACTTCATTTTACAAACAATGGTTTGATTTGATAGAAGAAACATTTTCAAAGCTATTAAGCAAAAATTTGCTCACTGGACAATTTGTATACTGAATAAATAAATATTTCCCACACTCGCACCAATTAACCTAGCCCCAAAGTAAGCACTGTAAGGCTTGTGTTATGGGATGCTAGGGGAATGGATAGAATACATATACTGATAAATATATAAGTATATTAACTACTAATTATTATATATGAAGACACTCGATTTCTGACTTTTATATATATATTTCTCAGTGAATGTTTATCTGGAATGTCACTTTGGGCTAACACCGCACTCACTCACACATTGTTTGCGTTTGTGTTGCCTGCACATTTGTTCGTGTACGTGTGTGTACTAATATCGACTGGTCAAGTTTATCGATCACATTAAAAGATGGCGTTAATATAATTTATAGCTTAAGGAATTTTTGTAGACTCACAATAACTTAACAGTTTCTGTGGAGATGACAACTATATTGTCTTCATGTCTTCTATTGTTATTTGATTAATATAATTAGTAATTGAGTTACTTGCAAATGCTGTCTGTATTTGCGTTTCCCCAGATCAGCAATGTAAAATTTTAGTTATGACAATTTCAATAACATGTCTACTCTTTACATTTCACAATACGGAAAGAAACAAGAAATATTTTCTTTCCTTTTTCAACAATCAAGTCAATATCTGTCTTTAAAACAGCGCGTTGTGTAGGTAGATTGTTAGTTAGTCAGTCATCTACTTGTTTTTTTTATTTATCTAAATACTTATTTAACTCTTGAGAATCAAACAATGTAACTTCTTTAACACAACGCGTTTTTGTTAGACTGTTAGTCGTCATATAGTTTAGTATGCTTCGGGCTTGTGATCCTTTATTACCAAATTTAAGAAAACTATCTAGCCCTACCTTATTATAGAAATAAAATATGATAAACCTTTATGATTTAGTCGTCGTTTAGTCAGTTTTTAGTATGTTACAACGTCTTTAACACAGCGCGTCTTAGGTAGGCTGTTAGTCTGTCATTTAGATAGTTATTTAGCCCTGTCTTACTATGAAAAGGATTATGATTTAGTCGTCTTTTAGCCAGTTTTTAGTCTGTTATAACGTCTTTAACATAGCGCGTCTTAGGTGGGCTGTTAGTCTGTCATCCACTTATTTATTTAGCCCTACCTCGTTCTGGAAATTATTACTATTTAGTCGTCCTTTAGTCAATTTTTAGCCTGTTAGAAAGTCTTTGACTTAGCGCAGCTTAGGTAGGCTGTTAATCTGTCACCTAGTTAGTTTTTAGCCCAACCTTATGATGGAAATTATTATGATTTAGTCGTCATTTTGCTAGTGAGTTGTGGTAGTTTGACCGGTCGATGTGACTAATGGGTGGCACAGGTCTGGTTCGTGTCCGTCGCAGCTGCTGCGGCTGCCGGGCAGCGAACGGGTGCGCCACAAGGAGAGACCTTCGGCCCTAGTCTTACATGATAATAGAAGGTAATGAACACTCGATAGGAACAAAAACACTAATTTAAATAGGTAGACCCTTCCTAGTTTCCTTTAAAACAATAGACGGTAAGAGTCACTCTAAAGTAGGGTTACATTTCGAAAAAAGTCCGGACTTTTTAGTCACAAAATGGTACCATTACTCACTTAGTTACAATAGTATGGTATTTAAATCAATATGTACTTTTATTATTCATATTCAAAGTAATTGAAAAAAAAGCCGGATTTATTTATTAAAAGATTCTGACAAAGTCCGGTTTATATTCGAAATGTCCGGACTAATCCGGACGGATGGTAACCCTACTCTAAAGGACAAACATCCCAATCAAGGCAGGTGGATTTCCTCCTTCCTAGATTCCTTTAAAACAATGGAAGGTAAGAATCACTCGAAAAGAAAGATCCAAATTGAGAGAGGTAGATTCTTCTCTTCCTTGGACTTTGCCGGGCAGCGAACGTGTGCCACAAGGAGAGGCCTTCGGTCATAGTGTTACATGACAATAGAAGGTAATAAATATATAACAGAAAGAAACAAGAATGGTACATTCCTAGGTTCCTTTATGAAGGCGAAGATAAAATGATATAATAATTCAAAAAACAGATCTCTCTCTCTCCTCACAAAACAGAAAAAAAACTTACCAACCAAGAAGTATATTCCCCACTTCTTAGATGACTATCGGGCAGCGAATAGGTGCGCCACAAGGAGAGACTTTCGGCGCTCAACTTACACGATAACAGAAGGTAATAACTACTCCAAAGGATAAACCACGGAGCTAGTACAAAGAGAAGATTTTGTATGATGGTCTTAAGATGAAGATAATAGAAGATAATAATCGCTCAACAACATCCCACACCGTCTGATGACAGTAAGTAGTAATAACTTGTTACGGTTCGTAAAATTAAAAAAAATCTTTGGATGACATGATGCAGATAGATGGTATGGCAAAGTCGTCATCAATCTCATATTATAATGTAAACGTTTGTGAGTTCACAATTACGCATAAACTCCTGGACTGATTTGGTTGAAATTTCGTACGCATATAGTTTATGACCTGGATTTAGACATAGGATACTTTTTGTCCTGGAAAATTTTTAGGTTCCTGTAGGATTCTCAAAAAACTGAAATTAACGCATACGAAGTCGCCAGCGGCCGCTAGTTACATACATAATCGGGCCGGCATTAATCGGCACAGCCGGGCGGTAAAATCGAATATGAATATATGTATATATATGTAGATGAATTTTCGGTAGTAATTACTACGGGTCGGCTTTATTGTTTGATAAGTACTGCCGAACCGACTAGCCGGCCCGATTATGTGTGTAGCTACCCTTACAAATATAGTTAAATATCATCACCCTGCATCATATAATTGGTAAGTAATCAAAACATTTTTTAAATGTATTTTTGTCCCTTTTCTCTAGATTTTAACTTGACGATCAAGGGGTTGAATAAGTTGGGTTTTGAAATATGAACGGAGATTAGATAAGATATCATTTGTAAAATAAAAAGCACTAAATTTTCTTGATTACATACAACTATTACCTACCTATGACTCATGTTTAGTTTTTCGTGTTTATATATATGGTTTGTCTGCTTTGCAAGCTTGCATATATTTGTTTCTTGCTTGTCATTGTTCATCATTATTTCACACTGCGCTTAACCCACCTAAACTTTCTATTATCTGATTAATTTTAATAACTATATTAACCAAGGTTTCTATCTTTTTTTCTATCTTTATAACAACGATATTAAATACCTCTTGAAATTGAACTCCACTCAAGCACTTCTTGGTTCACAGTCACGCGCGGACCGTTACAAAGTCAAGATGCCACAGAGCTCCGCAAAAAAATGCGAAAATAATATTTAGAGTACGAAAAGTGTCGTTTTTTCGACAGATATCTAGTCAATGTTTGTTAATTTAACGCATTTGAAGTAAATTTTGATGTAATACTTACTATAAACTGATTTAATATAAAATATTTGTTATATTCAAATGCATGGTCGGTTATACGTCGCCATATAGCCGTCTCTCTTCCTCGCGGTCCGTGCCTGCTATATTCCTAACAGTGCGTTCAGAATTGCGCGTAGAGTCAAAGAACTAAGGTCTAAATTCTTCCGCATATAGCAATAAGTCGTAAAATTACGAGCTTGCATTTCGAACTGTCAGAAGTCCTTGACGCATGCGTTTTATTTAAGACATTATACAGTATGTATTAAAGGTTACTTTCAATATTTAAATAATGCCTTATATTGATTATGACTATGCGATCATCTTACGGAGCTCCGTGGATCGTTCAATGTACCTTTTGGACAGGTTTCAGGCACGATTTTGTTCGTGTTGGTGTATCTAGGGTATTTAATAGCATTTTTGCAGGCCGGCAAGGTGAGGATGGTTGGTGTAGCAGTTTATTACTACTGTACCAGCTATTTTCGGGTTTGGACTTTATTACCACTTAACATTAGGTGGGGTAGAGTCATTTGCTTACCTGTCTATATATTTTGATATTTATTTAAATGTACATTCGTTTAAACAAAATACTTATCATTCTTAGAGCTTGATTCTTAGACACAAATTCAATTACATGGTATTGAATGTAATATATTGACGCTTAATGAAATATTAATGCTGGTCGTTAGTGAGGATAGGAGTTATCCTACTTTCATGTTCATACATAATTTTAACATATTGATAACTTTTCTTTAACACACTTTTATTAGGGCGACTTGTAATGAACTAACTATGTAATAAAATCCAAGAATCTAAATTACATGCACTTCTAATTCTTGTATGATTACCTTGGCATATAATTGCCAAGTTTCATGATGATCATGATGTAGATTAGATGACAATTCAATATTATGGTACCATTCGTCTTATTATATTTTGTTTATTTCACGGTAAAGGGGGGTAATAAAATCAGATCCCACCCAAGCCCAGGTTGGAAACGTGCCGAAGGATTAATGGTATGAGAGTGGTTAAAAATTTCATATCGCAAACGTCACCTTAGGGCACTGGGCGACACCCTGTTGTGAGTAGCTTTGCCACCTCATACGGACCTCTGAGGAGGACGGACGGAAGGTCTTAGTTTTCCGCTACTCATGGGAAAGAAAACGAAGATTAGAAAAAGAAAAGATAATTTAATAGTTTACAAACCTAAATACACGCTGCACTAAAAAGCCGAAAATAAACAAAATGTACTCTCTGTTTAGTTCATTAGGGCCTTAGAGTAAGCCGTGTTTATAGTTTGTAAACGGAGAAAATAAAAGCGTGTTTTTAGTTTTTTTAACTATTATTTTTTATAGTAAATGCATCAGACATATGGTATTAGTAGCAACTAAACATTTTTTCACTGAATGTACTATAATTTATTCGTTACAATGTGAAACATGCGCCTTGAAACATTTGAGTTGTTATTTAAAAATACATCAATATCATAACTCATTCTCTTGTAAAATATTAATTTTTAAGAACAGCAATATCTGGTTGTCCTTCAATTTCTGCCATCGCTGGCTTGCAAATATCAAATAATATATAATTAACTTATGCAATAAACATTATGAATTATGAATTGTTGTTTTATAGTACTGCAAGCGAAGGCCCTTGGCAGTCGCACCGCAAGTCGCAGTCGCTAGACGTGACTGCGGCGAGGAGAGAGAGACCACATTCACAGACTGTTAAGGAGAGGTAAATATTAAACCACGTGTAGGTAGGTTATTGCAATGTCTATTCGTAGAATTGCCATTTCCAAATAAATGTTGACTAAATGTGTTTTCTTAGTCCATGAAGTAGATTATTACAAAAGTATTAATTAAACAAGTATTTTTTCTTTATTCATAATCAAAGTTTAACAGATATATTGTCTTTAGATTTAAACATCTAGAAGTCATAAGCTTAAAAAATTAAAATATAACTAGAACAGAGATATGAAGGTTTGAAATATCGCATGACGTCATGTCTTGGTTAAACTTTTACTTAGAAGTGACGTCACGAGCCACCCACCACTACAATCCGCTCTCGGCCCGCTGCAAAGTCCCGGTAGTAAAAGAGGCATAATAGGGCTGAAGCTCGGTACTAAAATGTTTTTATTTTAGACCTTACTGTGTTTAGAAATAAGGTTGTAAATTGAAGCATTCATAGACGAATTTAACCCCGATTATTTTTCATAGTTTTTGGCGTCGGTTCTTTTGACTATCATTATATAATTATTCTAAAACATTTCATTAAAAACCTAAATTTCATTTCTTTTCCATAGGTTCCGCTGCATAGTTCCTTACCCGCCTAACTCCGAATACGAATTGGAACTCAAAGTGGACGATATAGTGGTAGTGTCACGTAAAAGAGGCGATGGTTGGTACAAAGGCACTTTGCAGCGTACAGGCCGCACTGGTTTATTCCCAGCATCTTTCGTACAAAGCTGTCCGCACGATTGACCCAGGCCTGGACCGAATAGGTTCGCTACATTATTCTAGTGGTAACAACAGTAATCTGATAACAGTGACAGACTCGTAAAGTAATATGATGGTTTATTCCCTGCGTCGTTCGGCCAGAGCAGGCCGCACGACTGACCCAGGCCTGAGACGAATAGGTTGCTACACTCTTCTAGTGGTAACAATAATGTATCAGTGACCTGATAACAGTAACAGATTCGTGCAGTAATATGATGGTATATTCCCTGCGTCGTTCGGTCAGAGCTGTCCGCACGACTGACCCAGGCCTGGGCCGACAAGGTTCGCTGCACTATTCTGGTGGTAACAATAATGAATCAGTAACCTGATAATAGTGACAGACTAGAGGCGTATTGTGTACGGTGACACTATGTGATTCTCTAGACTACTATTATTGGATAATATTATGCTTATTTGTCACTATATTGCGTTAATTTACGACCCATATGAGTGTAATGTTTACCGTTTTATTTATATAGAAATCCAAATATGTATTGAGTAAAATAGTTCGAGAGTTCACGCGAAAGTTCTATAAGTATGGTTATTTGCAACTAATTTTTTTACTACAATTATACTCTCTTTGTTTTTATCTGTTTATTGTTTATATTAATAATGTATTAGTATTCTAGATTTTTATTTTATACACTACCCTTTTTGCGTTTTCACGTGATTGCGATCATTTTGAAAAATATACCTACTTTCTAAAAATATACATTTCCCAATGTAAGACTGCCATAACAAGAATATTATCCAAACAAAGTGTTAGTTATGAAAAAAAACAGAACACTTTCTTTTATAAAACTTTAAAAAATGTAAGTATGAGTTTCAAGTTATTCTCGTAATTCTAATCCCAAATCATGTAGATAATCACTAACATTAATGTTGTCTTTATAATATTGTATTCTCGTTGTTATGATAAAACAACGAAGGAAGAAAAACAAAGAAAAGGGTCAAAAAGAGATACAATATTAACAATCGTCCATCTGTTTATTTATAAATGCCATTTATTGGTAAAACATAACAAAGATGCGTGTCATAATTTGTACATTAGACAGTAAGTAACGTTTTGTATGGATAAAGCAGGGAGTTTGATTAAATAGGTGGCACTATTATAAGAAGATAAAGTTTGCTATAAAATTAAAACTAAAGTTATTGAATAGGTTAATGTCATGTCGATAAACGGAATGATATATTAAATGTTGTTGCTATTCATTTAATCTTTCTTCTCAGCTAATCTTTAACAAATTTTAACTTTCGACAACTCAAGAGTTGAATTGTTTAATTATACATCCAATTTTCAAATTATACATACAACCATCTAAAGAAGCTTTGTAGAATCAAATAGTATAATTGAAGCAACAAAAGACGTTTTAACAAGAATTTTAACATGCGACAACAAAAATATCACATATTTTATTTGTTACATTAATAGTGACATAATATGTCTGTATGTACCCCTTTATTAAACCTTCAAAATTCAACCCAATAATAGTTTCCTTCAAAAGACTTTTTACTGATTGTAAGTGATATAAAGGAACTTAAGTAAATAGCATAAGGCGCATATACATATGTTAAAAAAATATAAATCGTGACATTAGCTTATTAAATTTCTTATTTTAAATGATTTCAATATTTTAAATAGTAGAAAATACTTTTTGGTGAATATAATTAAATTAATGTGTTGGTACCCGGTAATAGATTATTGAAAATTTTGATTGGTGTAAATAAATTAAACATCACATAAGATTTTGTATAAATACTAATGATGTTATGAGATTGATCTCATGTGTATGTATAGGTTATTTCACAAAACGAGGTTTTTACATGATATATCCATTTTTGTCCAACTACGAGGGCCAATGGAAATAGGAAGTAATCATATTAAATTATTTTTATATGAAAAGAGATTAGTGTACAATGTGTACATCGACATAGTTTTTATTTTATTCAATTTAAATCTGATATTGCTAGTTCCCAACTACCACTTCGTTAGTAAATAAATACCAAATTAAATTCTTTTTGGACACTGATAATATGAAGAGAAAGAAAGACATAATTTAAAGCCGAATTGTATTTTTATTGACAATATTTACATTTCTGATATATGAAATATATACTTACTATTTTATGAGTCCAAGTTGGTAGTTGGGATCAAACATACGGTTGTAGCTTTTTGAGTTGAGCGACATTGTAGTTATAGATACTATAAAAAGCATTAAGGTACTATTGCACCTTTTAGAATTGTATATAGACAAAAGTTTATACATTATTCCCCTTTGTTTTATTTTAAAATCTACAAATTTCTTAGTATTTACATAGTATACACCGTATAGTGTAACTTAAACATTAGATAATTTTAATACATAATGTTTTGAACGACTTTTATTTCTGTATTAATATTAATCGGAAAATACGCCTTACTTCTTAAGGTCGATACGCTTATTATGTTTAATAAATTATTTTAAGTCACTGCCATAATGAACAAAAATTTTGTTTTCAACGCTACGATTTCTCTATAAATAAGTAAGGATGTTAACAATTACCTACTATAATATTATGATAATATTACTCAATTAGTGTAGTTAAAAGTTAATGAAATAGGTATTAATCATAGGTTTTATTTATATTATACTTATAAATTAAACGAAATTTTAACAATTTTTCAAACGAATTTTTGCATTTTTTCTAATAGTTGGAAATTTTAAACTGAAATTGAGACTGTATAAAAACATAGTCTTAGTAAATAGCTATTATTTTTATCTTGTTAATATTATAATAATACGTTATTCTGAGGGCGAGTTTATTGAAACGCTAAATTACATTCATATTGTACAAATCTAGTTGAGCTATGGTGGAAACCTGTAAGGCTTAATAGCCTTCCAATTTAACCGATCGGCTATTAGTCCAAAAGAGCGATCTGCAGTGGCATGCATGTATCAGCTATAGCATAGACAATGAAAACCCTATTTGAGAAAACGCTCACAAGACAACATGTGGGTATACATCACGGCAAACTTCTCGAGCAACGTCCATACACAAGGAAGCAGTAGCAATTTTAAATACAAAAAAGTCTACTGTATACTTTATTTTATATTGCCTACTTTGGGTAAAAGTTCTACGCACGCCATTGCCGGTCGAGATGTGGCCTACCTAGCTGACATAAGCAAGACTGGCCTACCGGAGAGTATGGTTGGTCTACCAGTTGAGTATGGCTGGCCTACTACCGGTTGAATGTAACTGGCCTACTAGATTAACATTGTAGTTTCATTTGATGGTATACTCACATTAGTGACTGTAAACTCCTAATTATAATTTAACTAGTGGCCCGCCCTCGCTTTGCTTCGGTATTTTATCCCCTTGGGGGTAGAACTGATCAAAATCCTTTCTTAGCGGATGCCTACGTCATAACATCTACCTGCATGCCAAATTTCAGCCCGATCCGCCCAGTGGTTTGTGCTGTGCGTTGATAGATCACTATGTCAGTCAGTCACCTTTGAGTTTCATATATATAGATAGGTCACATACAGCGAAAGAAAGCGTTTTATTTTTTTCAAGGGACGCCTGATTTCAATAACCATGACTTATTTTGTACATATACGAGTAAATATGAAAAATATTTTGCCAAACATTTAATACATTGATATTACAGTTAAATATGAATTAATTATTTGGGTGAAATGCAACTATTTTCAAATGTTAATATTCTTAAAAATATTTTCAATGCTCAACGTATTTTTAAATGGTATCTGACTACTACGAACGAATAATGAGACAGTATATGCTAAAGAGATAAACTGTTATTTAAAAAGCGTACAAGAAAGGCTATTTTTTTAATAAATCATTCTTCTGTAAAGGACAGCCTTATCTGGTTGCGTTTAAGGATATTTGACGGTGTTAAAAATAAAGAAATAATTACATCTCTATTTAAAATTAATATAGGCAGCGATCATTACAGAAAAAAAAAATCCAACGATTACGTAATACAAAATGTTTTTTATCTATTGTCACGTGACCGAAAACGCCTAGGAATGGCGGAGCCTAATATGACGTCACTCATGTAAACTTCCGGTCAGTGACATTATTTCTACCGTTTAACGTTTAAATGTCAGACGTCTGACGCCACATTATATGTAAATCGTCTGCATATTATCCAGAGAAACGATTCAGCGGCATATTACAAAGCAGAATTTTTAAATTCGTTTTCTAATAAAATAAACAATAGGATGATAAATAGTCCATATACATTGGTATACGTAGCGGCAAACATCTTTAGCAAATCAGCAAACTTCTTGAGCAACTCATGAAGTTTGCTGGGGTGTATAAATAACGTTAGATTGTTTTCAAAAGTTGTCAAATACCCTATTGTGTTTATAAAATAATGAACACTGTATTTTAATTTAATTTTAAGCCTGTGTGCTAAATTATCACAAAATATTATGAAATAATACTAACATATTTCGCGATTGTGTGCGAAAGAACTGATTTTATTGTGTATTTTTTTTCTTTATTTATTAAGAATAATATGCAAGTGATTATTATGGTTATACAATCGAAACTCTTATACTTGGATCTAATGTATTAAAAAGTATAATTATAAGTGAGATGTATTATTATTATAAATATTTATTTGATTTGATTTTGTCTCGCATATTTTTCGCTTTTAATGTAAACAGTAAGTGAATCATATCGAACAGTTGAATTAGGAAATTTTCGTAAAGAAAATAAACGTTTCTTAATATTAAATGTTTTTTTCATTTAACATTAAATAAGGTTAATTTCAGTAATTTATTAATATATTTATTATAAGCTTATGGTGAATTTCTTTTTTTGAACTGGGAGCAGAAGATTAACATAGAATGCTCCAGATGATACCATAAAATTGCTCTGCAGTAAAACCGGAATCGAAATTCATCGTATTATACCCAGTGGAGTATTTTAAAATCTGGCGACCCGGACCACTTAGTGTAATATCCCGCATGCACTCTACTCTAAACATGCTCTAAAGCACTGCACTATCGTCTGCATAGCAATGAATGTTCCCTAGAGGAATTTTATCATTGATATGCAGTAGAAAGAGTATAGGCGATAAAACCGAACCCTGAGGCGCGCCGGCATTTACAGTCATGAACCGCGAACTACTACCATCCGTAAGAACACGAATACTTCATGCAGGAAGTCAGCTACCAAGGAACAGAACTTAGCAGGCAGACCGTATGCCGGAAGCTTGGAAGGAAGGCTATTGTGCCAGACACTGTCAAAGGCTTTGGCAAGGCTGGCCTAACAGCAGATGCGAGTCCGGTACGCTTAAAGTTCACCCGTCGAACGTTCCGGCCTAAGCCATATTTCAGAGAGTGATCCTTAAGGTAGCGGGTTAGATGTTTGTTTGTTAAGGACCATTTCTAGGACTTTACACAATACTGAGGGGACTACTATTGGCTGGTAATTGGCCGGCAGTCTAATGTAAGCCATCTTGTCAAGCCAAGGACTCTGAAGCAAAATTGTAGGCTACTTTTAGTAAATTAGCCCCGGGATCCTTAAAGTCTGC